TCTCTCTCTCTCTCTCTCTCTCTCTCTCTCTCTCTCTCTCTCTCTCTCTCTCTCTCACACACACACACACACACACACACACACACACACAAATAAGGGGGAAACAGTGGCCTTAATGCTTTCTACTGTATCTAATACATAGCAGCAATTTTGCGCTGATGGCTTGTCAATGCTCGCCAGTTATGAGTATGAACAACCAGCCTAAGAGTCGGATAGAGTGTACAAGTACGTCCTTAATAATCAGGATAAGCTTGCGCATCTTACCATAGCAGAAGCTTTGGACAGCTATTCAGTCAGATGAGTTCCCTTCCCTGACAGCCTCCATATCCGCAGTCTTGAGAGTCGAGTTTCACAGATGCAACACATTCTACTGAGCTAAGATCTGGCTATCCATAGTCCCATTCCGAACCGGCTATCGGGCTATCAGGTTATCCAGAAATCTGGATAACGTGATAGCCAGATAGCTGGGTCGGAATGACCCAGCTATCTGGCTATCACATTATCCAGATATCAATAATCCACTTCCAATCCGGCTATCCAAGATATCCAAGCTATGGGGCTATTAGTAGTAGCCCCCCTTCCTGTCCAGAAATCTGGCTATCCGGATATCCATAGTCAACTTCCAACCGGCGATCTGGCTATCTGACTAGCCGGATATATGACTGCCCCGCTATCCATAGTGCCCTTCCTTGTCTGGCTATCTGGCTATCCGGTTATCCAGATATCAATGATCCCCTTCCGATCCGGATGTCTGGCTATCTGGCTATAAGGCTATTAGTAGCCCCCTTCGTGTCCAGCTATCCCCTTCCATTCCGGCTCTCTGCACCTCCGGCGGCTATTAGTAGCCCCCTTCGTGTCCAGCTATCCCCTTCTGTTCCGGCTCTCTGCACCTCTGGGGACGGCTCTCTACACCTACGGCTATCCAGAGCTACCGTAGCGTCCTCGCTATATGGATATTCATTGTCCCTCCTTCCAGTCCGGTTCTGTTGCTATTTGCCTATCAGGCTATCCAGATTCCATTTGCCAAGCTGCTCGGACCATAGCCGAGTGGTAGTGGAGTAGAGGTGGTCCAGGGAGAAGAAGGGCTGTCAGAAGGAGAAGGAGATCAGAGCAGTGTGACGAGGCACATGCCTGGTGTACGACGAAGGCAAGCTGATCAATCAGAGTCTTCAAGCGGAATTTGGGCTGATGACACGTGGACCTGTTGCTACCTTCTTCCCTTGAAGACAACATACTGTCTATAGCTGTATTTGGGGTATCTTCAGTCTAAATACAGCTATATTGACCGTATGTTGTATTCGGGGAAAGACAGTAGCATAGATCGACTAGAGACTGATAGGAACGTGTGAGAGTAGTGGTAGAGGGGGAGGAGGGGGGGAGGAGGTTGAAGAAGGTAGCATAGATGGACTAGATTGATAGGAGGGTCTGAGAGTAGTCTTGTGGGGGGGTTGGGGGGAGGAGAAGAAGGTAGCATAGATAGGCTAGATTGGTAGGAGGGTCTGAGGGTAGTCTTGGAGGGGAAGGGGGGATAACTGCCATTAGGTGGGCTACATTGTTGTTGCATTGGTTATTCCGGGCCTTAATGAGGCGTTAGGAGGGCTTTCATGGTCAAGGGACTTCAATGCTTCACTCGTTCCTATTTGGTGTGATCTCGCTTTGCATTCTGCTTTTCATTTCGGGCCTCAATGATATCTGTTCGACTATGAGATCTTGCAATTTTGGTCTATCGCTGTTCGCATTGCTTATTTCCTTGCAGTTTGGTGGTGTCGGAGCTGGTTCGTAGGCTCTCTCCACCAAACTGCACCAACCAAACGTCGCGTGGAGAGTACCTGCAAATGGGGGCTAATAAATAAAATCGAGCTAAATGTTGCAAGATACAGAGAACATTGACATGGCCTTTGTGCAGGGACGACATGCATAAAACGACAAATGGTCCCAATTTAATACGTATATCTCGTCGAACAGAGCTGCCCAGTAATATATTGTCACAAGAATATCAGAGCGCAAAAGCGAAAAAAAAAAAGAAAGAAAACAAGGAACAAATGAATTCGTTTTTTAATCTTCTTCTTACAACTCCCCCTGTTATATATTGTATATTGTATCGACAAACAGAACTGCGTTCGGGAAACCGTAGGCAGAGAGGGAGGGAGAAGAGGACAACAAACTAGGGGCTGTGACAAACTGTTTCGTCGAAGATTCACCAACTCATCAGGAGGCTGAACCCTCTACAGTCTGCAGAATCCCTTAACTGATTACACTAAGTGATAATCCACCTTAACCTTGGGTGTGGTTAAGCATCAACAACAGCCCGACAACTGATACCCTGAGGTGCCCCTCGTGTATTGTCCTCCTACCGGGCAGCTCTGTTTGACGATACATACCACGACTTCGCTAGCACCCTGCTACGGTATTCTCCGGTCAGGGCGAGCGGCAGTGGTCAGGGCCATCACTACGCGGCCATGCTGTGCCTCTAGTGCGAGCAGCATGTCCGGAGTGTATATTTTGGCTTCCTTCATTTCGTGGGTGTTTTGCTGGCTTGTGATGGGGTGTGAACCGACAGTCTGTAGAGTTTTCCATCTGGTGTGGGTGAGTGATAGTCTGCTTTGATTTACGTCACAGGTACCTTGAGGGCACCTCCGGGTATCAGTTGTCAGGCAGTCGTTGATGCTTAACCACAGCCGGGGTTAAGGTGGATTATTGCATAATAATCAGTTGAGGATTCTGCAAACTGTTGAGGGTTCAGCCTCCTGATACTGAGTAGGTGAACTCCGAAGAAACAGTTTCACAGCCCCTCATTTTGTCCTCTCCTCCCACTCTGCCTACAGTTAACGGCAGCTCTGTTCAACTATATATCGTCACACTGTGAATCGGAGCACAAAGGGAAAAAAACAAAACAAGGAAAGGAAAAGACGGAAAGCCCCACCTGTTCATCACCTCTTACGTACAAGGCCGGCCACATGGATGATGATTGAGCACCGGCTGCCCCCATCCCCGTGTGTCACAAGGACTTGCACGCAGCCAAAAGGCAAAGAGGTAAAGAAAAGGAGGAAACCAGACCTCACAGAGGCAAGAGAAAGAGAAAAGGATCCAATCAAAGAAAAAGATAAAGGAAGAAAGCAGATGACACATCCCACATATTTTTTGTTTCTTTCTTTTTTTCTTATTGTTTTTTCAATTTCTTCCTTCTTCTTTCTTCAACTCCACATCTGTTGGTAGTATCAAAAGCTTTATCTGTCCTACAACTAGTGTTGCCCCTGATCTGCTTGATTCTATTGACCAGTCAGGAAGAGGAGCCCCCACCCCGGCAGATAGGACAGGCACACCGAGGATGACGTGGATGTTCACAAGGATACCCAAGGAGAGCTGCGCCAGCACACCATTCAGCAGGACGGCTAGCACGGACCATCCCATCCCATCAAAACAGTCCTGACAAAGGACATGCTGTCCACATGTCAAAAAAACAGCAGGACGTTCATCACAGTGCGGCATCATGCAGTCCTGATAGTGTCCTTGAGCACAAAAGGGGCATTGTCAACGAATATCTGGGCAATAGGGATGTGTACAATGAGGAAATGTTGGACACCCTTCGGCACAGATGGCAGCAACTGCAATAGATCGATAATGTTGAATGCATATGTGATGAATTCCACAGCCAAGGCGCACCGCGTCTCTGTCCCTACAGGTGTCACACGAGAGTCGGTCATCGATCCAGAATAAAGTATGATTCGGCAATGCACGCAAAAAATCATTTATGTTGAAAAAAATAGCCTGAATCATCGTCCCACCATCCCACAGTTCCCACTGGACAGCTGCACGAACGAGTGCCATATAATGCCCACAGGCAGAAATATATGAGGATGTTCATTAAGGTCATCGCCTGGCGTCGCATGACGCATAAGAAGGTGGCGACCGTGGAACACCAACTGTAAGACATTTACAGTAAAGCCTCCTGAGGTAGTATAATTACTACCTTCTGCAGGTGGACTATTATGGTCAAACAACAACTGATTTTCAACAGCGTCAAGCTGATAAGCAATCTTAACAAAACGGGAAGCAGTATAACATTGACGCTGATAAGCCTGTAGGCAGACATTTGTGGCTGTCAAACCACAAGCATTTGGTAGATCTGCCCGCAGATCCGATTCGGTCACCACTGGAAAGCCAGGTCTGATCTGGTGGGGTCGGTGCATGAATGACGAACGACATCGACGTGGCAGAGCAGGCTGTCGGTAAGACAAAGAACCCCGCAAAGATGAGCATCAACACGACGTCGAGAGGAAGGGGGACTAATGAACGGACCTGCCAACGTCCCAATATAGACAACGAAAACAGAGGGGCCGATCTCAGCCAGCGTGGGAGGGCAAATGAAGAAGAATTAGAAAAGGAAGAAGAAGACAAAGAAACGGATGATGAAGAAGTAGAAGGGGAAGAAGAAGAAGAAGAAGAAGAAGAAGAAACAGAAGAAGAAGAAGGGGGAGATGAACAAAGAAGATGACGCTCGCAAAGAGGAAGGAGAAGGAGAGGGAGGCGGAGAGGGAGAGGAAGGCGGAGGGGAAGTGGAAGGGGAATGAGAAGG